AACACTTTACTACATTTGTTTCACTCTCCATATGTGTGTGTGTACACAAATAAAACACAGGCATGCACACATATTTTTAACCATTGTGAACAAGCATCCCTTTGTCCCTAAATCCTTTGGTGTGTATATCCTAAAAACAAATTATCTTACCTAACCACAACACAATTATCAAAATGAAGAAATTAACATTGGCATAATGCTATCATCTACTCCACAGACTTGATTCATATTTCACCTGTTATCTGAGTAATGTCCTCTACAGCAAAGGAAAATCTAAATCCATTCACTACATTCTACTGAAATGTATCTTTAGCCTCTAATTGGGAACAGTTCCTAAGACTGTCTCTATTTCACGGGCATTGTTTTTAAGAGGGTAGATCACTTATTTTGCAGAATATCCTTCCATTTGGGCTTGTCTGATGTTCCCTTACAATTAGATTCAGGCTATGTATTATAGGCAGGAATGTTACAGAAGTGACGCCAAGTTATTTTCACTGTGTCATATCAGGAGGTATATTCTACGGACTCATCCCATTACTGGTGATGTTAAATTAGATTAGTTGGGTTAGGTGATGCCTGCTAAGAGTCCCCACTATAAAGTAGTATTTTACCCTTTGTAATTAGTTTCAAAGATACTTTGGAACCCTGTAAATAGTTTCTTATTATTTTCCAAACTTTCACCAAATAGATTAGCATTCATAATTCTCAACTAAGCCAAATGTCAATATGCTTGGTTGCCAAATGATGACTTTCTACATGTATTAGCTGGCTTTCTATTGTATGGAAGACTTTTCCCTTCTCATTCATTCATTCATAGCCACATAGGTAATGGGTTCTTAGGTTATTCTCTAGTACCATGGTTTACTTTGATGCTCAAAATTTTCCAGATTTGATCAGTAGGAACCACCTCATGCTTCTCTGTTCTTTTCAACAAATATATCTTAGTGCTTACAACTAACATAGATTTGGCACTGGGGATACAACAATGAACAACAAAAAATCATTCTAGAGCTTACATTCTAGTTTGTGGAAGGCCAGAAAAAGAGTAAGTAAACAAATTGGTAGAGTGCATTAAAGGACAATAAGTCATGGAGAAAAGAGAAGGCCAGCATTGGGTGTAGGGAATATTGTAACTGCATTGTTCAGGCTCGGTCAGGAAATGCCTCATTAGTAGGCACCATTTGCTCCCATACCTGAAGGGCATTGGGGAGCCAACCATGTGGATCTGGAGGCAAACTCTTCCAGGCAGCACTAAGCTTTGTGGAGCAGCTGGACCAGCTGTAGTTCCTCGAGGCGGGAACAAATTGACATTTTAGTGGGATTCCTCTGGTTGCTGAGTTGAGCTCAGAGTAGGAAGTCAGGATGAAAAGTATTTATGAGGTGCCTTAAATTCCCATAGTGCACATCTCTAAGGCACTGAAAATTTTGTCAAAGCATGTGCTGATATAATGACAGTTTTATTGAATAGATTAGCCACCTCAAAGAAGCAGAGTTCAGATAGAAGTAAAACTTGTAAAAAGGCAGGAGGGGTGGGAGTTAGGGGTTGGGAAGCAGAACTTTCGCTTAACTAACACATACTTGGTGCTTTTTAAGCTTCTTTTAACTCTCAGAGCAATCAGAGTGGGTGTTATTTTGCATGTGAGGAAAGTGAGGCACAGAAAGGCCCGGGCTTTCCTTTCTGCCACCCCGTCTGGTGGTCATGACAGAGAAGAGGTGAGACGAGGGATGAGGTCTCGGATGATGCCACGAAGAGCACAGTGAGGACCCAAGAATGTTCTTCGGACCCACTGCTTATGTTCTCTGCAGCTACGCTTCCACTCTGGGTTTCCCTTTCTGGTAACTAAGCAAGGTCAGCAACATGGATCTTCCTGTCTCTCCAGATTCCCAGGCAGAATGCTCCCGCGCACCGTCTCCCGCCCTGTGCCTCCTGCATCAAAGCTGCAGGGCTGTCATTTTCCCAGAATCCTCAGCTCCACTGTGTGAGCAGAAATTTTAATTCACAACCACATTTCCATACAGTTGCTCAGCAAGCCACCTGGATACACAGACCTGACTCTTAAATTATTGATCTTCTCCTATCCAGAAGCTTTCATAAGCATGCACAGCATATATACATATATATATATATATATATATATATATATATGTATACATATATCTATATGGAGAGAGAGACAGACAGAGACAGACACACACACTCACACAGAGACAGAGATAGAACACAATGGAAAAAAATAACTAGCAAAAGTCCATGCAGCCAGACTTTTCCATCTACACTATGGTACATGATGCCCTGAAGTGGTTCATATTATGGTCCTGAAATTGCTATTATTATTTCACAGTTATTATTAGCTCACAGCAATTTTAGAAAACTGTCACCTTTTTTTCTAGCAGGAACATGCCTACTTTCTTCTCATGTACCATATAATATGGGAAAACTTAAATGCCATCCATGCTTTCCTATAAACCTTCATTTATGCCCAGGCCCAATTAAATCATCTCTCCCAGCCCTCTGTCCTCAAAGGCCCTCAGTCTGTATCCATGACTACACTCAGACTGTGCTTTCCCCCATCTTTCCTTGGATGTCACAAGAGCCAGCAATTGGACCAGAAACCTCCTACTGGTAACAGAAGAGGAAAGTACATCTGGTCACAGAGAGCAGGAAACGGGGAGTGGGAATTTTGCTGCCATTACTTTGACTGACTTCTCTGTGACCTTGTGCTGTTAACACCTGCCTCCCCAGGTGTGCGAGGAGCTTTAATTAATATTTGTAAATCTCCTTGATTGCCACAGATAAAAAGTAGCAGAAAATGGCCGATTTTTATTAATCGTGGGGTGGGGAGTGGAGAGATTTAAGTTTTGTTCCTTCACCAGAGAGAAACCTGCACCCAGACACTGTTTCACAGTGGGATGATTTGCTGTAAATCTTGATTTACTTCCCCCGCACGTATGGAAATGCCTGCTGCCTGCTGAACGCAAAGCTCGGGTTCCACGCAGCGCCTGAGCCTGGATGTGCACCGCCTGCGACCCCTAATGCGGTTTAAGTTATTACCGAAAGGAACCTGGCTAGTCACGAGTGTGAGGGTTCATCTAATTAGCTGCTTTCAGTTCACTTGGCATTAAATAATTCCCCCAATTCCCATATGTTTGAACAATATGTTCAACAAGGGGGATGATTCTCTGAAAGCAATTAAATGGTTCTCGTAGGAGAGCTTGTCATCGGTCACTCAGAAGCATCTCTGCTGCTCCCGTCGGTGCTGAACGCGGGCTGCAATTAGGGGGAAGGCTCTTGACCCTCCCCAGTGGCCTGGCAGGCGCCCACGCGGGCTGCCCCTCCGTGCCGGGGAGAGCTCACGTCGGCCTTTTATATATTTTTTCAGACCTCAAGTATATTGTTCTAGGCTGTTCACAGAGCATTTGTTATTGCTAATACACCACTTTCCATACCCACCCCATCGCCTGCCTGCCCTCCTTCAAGGGAAACACAGACGTGTTTTCAGTGACCCTGTAAACACTGCTTGTATAGAAAGAGTTGTCAGCTTTTGACAACGGTAGCCTATATGGAAGACGGAATTTTTTTGTCATCTCCAGTGCTTCTTGGGGAGGGAGGGAGACGGTGGGATACATTCAGGTCTGTTAGATACAGTAGATAAAAGATGTTTTGCTCAGTTATATGCCCTGGCTTTTACTGCAGCAGCAAATTAGAGATAATGAACTAGAGCCTGACCATTACTATCTGGAACGAGAGCAAGCGATGGCAACATAGCAAGTCAGAAATTAATAACATGCTAGATGCACTCATAGAAAAACTGTTTATACAAGACCACGTAAAAGGTGGTAGCTTTTAGTGCTAACTTTCCTCTCTGTCTTGCTCAAGAGGTTGCCGTTTTGACCAGGGTGACATATTTAAATGTCCTTTCTAGGTCAGGTAAGAGAAAGCCTAGATATCACCAATCCCAGCTCTCGTGTAGCTTGTTCATCTTAGAGTCCTAAATTACTTTATTGGCTACCTTCTGTATCACTATATCTCTTACAAGTGACAATCTATCAAAAAAAATAAAATAGTTGTTCAAAAACCCATAGCAGTTGGGGGAAAAAATGAGAAGACTTCTGGGGTCTCCTCATTGACTACTGTCCTATAAAGTTTCACACCTCACTATTTGGGGGCAGAGATTAAAAACAAAGGACAGAAAGTGAAAAAGGGAGGCATTCACTGAGGTGGTATTATCTCCCTTTAATTAAACTTCTCTTTCTTTTATCTGTTTCACAACTCTGCATTCCCATCGTAAATAATTCACAGTACAGAAAAATCTGAACACCAGCTTTGGGTAGACTGATTTTAAATTTAGATCTAAAATACAAAAGAGATGAACGATTATATATATTTGTGTATTTGATTATACACATTTATAATGAGCTTTTCACTGTGCTATCGCTATATAACGTATGTGTGTGTGCATTGGCAGAAAATAAATGTTTTCAAAACCAGTAGAGACATGCTCAATTTGGGTGTGTTTGAAGTGTTGTTTTGTTTCATAATAATTTGTTTTAACGCTTACTAGCATTAAAAATATTAGTAGAATGTGTTAGAAGAAAGGAATCTGATGGTAAGATTACCAGATTAGTCATTTCTATAATGTTCTTGGCGTGGGTCATTGATAATGTTAACAAGAATAAGAATTCTGTAGCTGCTGTGCGACACACCGGCCACGTCTTTGCTTTCTTCTGTTCTGCCCTTTACTTCTGAAGAAGCATTTGTGATTTTGTTTGTCAGAACCTAGGTTGGAAATCTAGGCTGCAGCTCAGTCTGCGTGCTCCAGCAGCTCGGGATGAATGGCTGTGGTCCAGCCCAGGCCTCTGCCTGGGTGGTGCTGCCCAGGAGGAATGCGGGGAAGGGCTGTGCTCTGCCTGAAGGGAACCCCAGTCTGTAACTAAATTCTCACTCAAGTGAGCCCCCCTCCTTCACATGCTTCTCTCCTTATCCCTCCCCAACTGTAAAGCCTCCAGTCCGATGGATCTGAGGTGCTCCTGAGTCCTGAAGTCACCTGTGGTCCCCCAGACATGATCGTCACCACTCCCTTTGCATTGACCATACCACACTGTGCAGACGTCAGCTCTGAGCACTGGAATATCCATTTAAAGAAGAGGACCCAGCAGGGCACGTGGGAGGTGAGACCTGATTCTTCCTTTTTTGAAAACCAGGATTTGGGTTCCACCTACGGGATAGATTTCACCTTGAGCTCTCTTAACACCAGGAGTCAGCTGTGAGATTTGTGGGCATTTTCCTGTTTTTCAGAGGCTTGGTGATGTGTGTTTTATAACAAACACCCTGAAGGTATTGGCTAGTGGTTTTCCAGTGTAATGGAAAAAAGAGATGAGAGGATCCCAGCTTTTTTCTTTGGTTTTAGAATACAGTTTCAATTACCCACACAGACATACATCCTTATGTACCCCTCTGTGGTACGTAAAACTTTGTCACTAGATCTGTTTTTGTCAATATAAGGATTATATGGGATTATATAAGTAGAGATTATATAAAATCACTGTATCTGTTTTATCATCATAAGCATTATAACAAACCTAAGTTTAAGTGATCAGGAATGCAGAAGGTGCTAAATATATTCTGGTGAATTAATGAATGCATTAAAAATTATTCTGAGTGTCCGTTTCCCTGTGTTTATGAACACACATAAAAGACTTACAGTACAAAGAGAGAACAAAAGAGACAAGGAAAGAAAGTGAGGAAACATGAGGCAGGGTAACAGCAAGGGAGACAGTCACAGCCAAGAAAAATTGCAGTGAATTACTGTTTTAAGTGAAACCTCTGATTTATCTGTCTGATAGGGATTCTTTTTATGTCCCTCTGAAGTCAGTTTGCATGAAAGCAGATGAATTATCTTGTTGCAACACAATGACCTGTTCCTGCTAGCCCTGGGGTCGGACCTCCCAGGAGGTGCTTCCAGCAAACTGAGCAAAAGGAAAATCTTGTTTCCCTATGAGAAGGAAAATGCCAGCTGCTGCAGTGGGTTATGTTCCCTCTGTCCAGCTATGCCTGCAAACTAGTCTATATTCTTTGTTGAGAATGTATTCTGCTATTTATTCAGTCCTCAAAAACCACAGGCAAATTTCCTGCGACATGAAGTTCCATGGGTGTCCTGCCTGGGCCAGGTTTTGGTCTCTTTTGCATTATGTTTTGCTTTGCCTGGATTTTCACCTCTTTAGTTTCTGTTCTCAGCACTCCCGCACAATCGTTTATATCCAGATGGTGTTAGGTTTATGCTCTACCAAACCAGACACACATGCCCAAGTTCTTATCAGGGAGAGTGAAATATTCTTAGTACATCTTATCCAGACCATTTATTTAATGGTTCCTTGTGAATGCTTTTGTTGAAATGAGAGAGAATAAAATATATGAAAAAATATATGGTACTTCAAGGATTTTGAAATATATTTTCAGAAACAGACCTTCTTAAAAACATAAATGTTTGCTTCTTGATGTTAATGTGTAAGATATTTTTTTTAATTCAGTGTTGAACAAATTAACCAAAAATAGAACTTTGAAACTGATTTTTGTTACAACCTATTGAGTAGAATTCCGACACTGACCATAACCATTTCTCGAGTTTCTGATAGAAGCAGTTATTTTGATAGAAGAACATTTAACATCAAGAAAATCAGGGCGATGAAAATATTATGAAAATGTTTGTTTGCTTATGTCCTTGGGAAGTAAACTGTTAAATCGAATCACATTATATCCAAACTGAGAGAACTTCACGTACCTTTTCCCAATAGGAAGTGATGTCAGTGGAGGATGAGTCCACATCCTGTTACTGCCTCTTGGACCCCTTTGCATGTCATGTGCTCCTAGACAGCTTTGGGACCTATGCCCTCACCGGAGAACCAATCACAGACTGTGCCGTGAAGCAGCTCAAGGTGGCAGTTTTCGGCTGCATGTCCTGTAACTCCCTGGATTACAACCTGAGAGTCTACTGTGTGGACAATACCCCTTGGGCATTTCAGGTCAGCTCTGCCTCTCTAATTCTTTTGGTGTGATGAAAGCATGGGGTTTCCTAAAGATCAGTGTCTCTAGAGAAGTCTATTGCTGAAGGTCTGGAAAATTTACCCCCCAGCACTGGCTTGATGGGAGTACCTATCATGAAGCATGAGCTGTGTTTACTGTACATCCAATAAGGCGCTCAGGTACCTGGCAGTCGCAAAAAGAAAGGGCTAACTTAATGCATTGTGTGCTAAATTGTAAAACCGACCAGACTAGACGTGTAGTCGGAATGCAGAACAGAGACCCAGTTCAACGGAGCAACTGGAGAAGAGTTTTTGAGAACTCTGTGAACCTTCATGGATGGGTGAGATTTAGGAGCAAAAGAGAAAGGATGCCATGTGCAGAAAGGATAGTGGAATGAGCTGCAGACCCAGGAGTTATTTGATGTGCAGAGGGCAATGAGAAAACTGCTGGCTTCGACCGAAGGCTGGAGTCAGAGAACAATTATAAACCATACCTATCATGGTTTATTAATTATTAGGGCTACTAGGGCAGAGATGGTTCAAGGTTCCCTTCCATTTTTGGTACTTCTAATCATGTACGAATTACTTCAGCTACTCACAAAGAGCGTGAGTTTATTAATAGCAGCAAGGATACTGCAGAAGTGCCCGTGTAAGCTTTGCCCACATATAACTAACATAGATCTCCTGACACACCTCATCCCAGATCCCTGCTAGCCCAGCCATGGGTCATTAGGCCCATTACAGAGCATTTCCTCAGAAACTAGCTCTTAACACACTGAGCTAGGGAACTCATGTTTACCAGGAGAAGGGATACAAAGACCTGAATACTGAACATAAGCCAGTAAAGATGACACAGAGCCAGCCTGCATTTCCAAACCTTCCCTGACTACCTCTTAGGTAGCACAGGTCATTTTGAAGGGCACACTTCGCATTTAGCTGCCCATAAAAGGGCTGTTCACAGGGGTGCCGTTTTGTAATGTAAAGAACTTCATCATAATTACACCTCATCGGATGATTGGCATTCTATGCACTTCATCTGCTTTAGCCACCCCTACTAAGAGGATTTCTCCAGGATAAAATACATGAGACATTCAGTAATCAAGAAAGAAGAATGTATTGAGAGCGTTACTATCACTTAGCGATTATAAAATGCACCGCGATTCAAGTTGGCTGTGTAGTAACCCAGCCAGATTCTAAGGCTGAGCAAACTCAAGTGGAGCGTGGAGGCCATGGAGCTGTTCCAGTCTTCCGGCTCCTGTGCGCAGCCCACTGCCGCCTGCTGCGCTTATGAGGGTCTGTTCCTCACAGCCGCCTTGGATGTCAGCCTTCGTAACCAGTTTGGAATTTTCTTTGAATAATGGTCTCACTGCTGTTGTGTATACCAGTGAGTTAAACATTTGCCTAAAGAGTTTATTCTAGTAGACTTTCCAGATAATCTGTTTTTATTCCTGTTGATTGCTACCAGATTCTCCAGCAGCTCAGCTGTTCGTAGATGAATGTAGATGAGGCCCCGAACACAGCTTTTTCAACCACCACCCCCCCTGTGGGTGACATATCCTTCTTAGTTAGTGCTCAGGAAAATGGCATTCTCCCTCTAAACTGAATCCCAATACCTTGATTTCATCATTTGGAGATGTTTCTTAAAACTCTATCATTTTGCTTTAGAGAAATGTTTTTCAGTGGAAATACCTTTGACCCCATTTTTCATAATCTGTTCACCTTCAGTTATTCTTTCCCTCTCCTGTTATGTCGAATAAAGCTGATGGTAAAGTTGAGTTCGGTTGTACGTGTAATTGACAGGATGTATGTGACAGCTGTCATGAGCAGCAAAGGACATGCCTCCCCCTTGGGGTCCTGAGAGAGCATCGGCCTTGGTTGAATAACTTTGCTGACTCTCAGAAAGATTAAAACATAACTTGTAGCTCTTCTGATCACAACTGTTTTACTCCCTGGTCTTAGTCTAAATGATTTTGCCTCTAAAAGGATCTTGCTTTCTGGATTTTTACCTTGCCGAGTGAATGTGTTCAGGTTCCTTTACAGAGGTTCATTTAAGCCACCTTAATATCTCAAATCACCTATGTCTTATTTTTCATGACTTCATATGTGGTATTTAATTAGAGGGGAGTATTATATAGCTATTAACCCATTAAAACAGTTCCCCTTTCAGAAAGCCTTAGCATCAGTTCACTTTTTGAACCTCTGAAAGACTTCACATGTTTGTAATATGAGCTCCCCCAGCTTGGATGGTGTGAGCTGAAAATATTGTATAAGGTGGCGGCTGATAGGACTCTGACTTCTTCACCAAAATTAATGTGTAGTTTTCTTATGAAGCATTTCTACAGAAATTGCCTACCCAGGAATTTGCCTCAGTTATCACTATAACAAAAATGATTGTTGTGATTTGGAAATAGATACAAGTGTGAATGCACAGTTGCTGTATTTATCATGGTGCATTTTCTTATGTCTCAAAGAAATGATTAAAAATACGTGTCCAACTAGAGTTGTGCTCTTAACCAAGAAAGAAACCTGGTCAACGGGCATGGTTGCATCCTTCATTTCATTCAGATCTCACTGGGAAATCATATCCCATAAAACCCTTTCCAGACCCAACCTGCCAGCCCTCTTAGAACTAGATGAGGGGCTGGCAATATAATGGTCCCACCCAAAAAATATTCCTTTAGAGGATTTTAGTAACCAAACAGAAACATGCTCCATTTTCAACCACACCCGGCCCCCCTTCCCTATGCCTCCTGCCGGCAGGGCTATAATTCTTTCTTCTTCTTTGATCTGGGGATATTTTATCTGAATCATAGTAGTTTCTTTGCATGAAAAAAACAAATACTTCAAACACCTTGGCAAAACGTAATTAAATTAGTTTCAGATTATTTTTTTTGAAGATCTGTTCTGATAAATAAGTCAAAAAACATTTCTATGAAAATTACATTAGCTCAGGTATGTTCAAACATAAAAATGCCATCTGCCTGAAGGTGAGAAAAGGGTGAGAAGGACCAGGTGACTTCCTGTCCTTCCCGCTACTGTTTCTGTGAAAATTAGGGCTGCCGTTTTATGTCTCTGCGTTTGGCATCACCTCCTTTGATGGAGTCAAAGCAAAGGCTGAGGAATGGTGCTCTGTTTTTCAAAGCAGGAACATTTTAAGAACTAGGTTTTTGTTATTGTGTTTTCTCTCTCTCACATACACACACACACAGCTCAAAAAAACCTTGATGTAGAGAAAGCAAGGAATTAAGCACTTGCCCCTATCTTAGAAAGGAAAAAAAACCAACAAAACACTATTTTTTTCTCTGCTCTTCCCAGCACTCCCATTCAGTACCTCTTGGTACTCATTACTTACCTGGCATTAATGTGGATTTAGAATCTAATTTCAAAGGATTTCCTCCAGATGTAGTTCTCGTAGTTATCAATAATGCAACCTTGGGAAATATTGTTCATGTAAAGCATTTAAAGGAAAACACCACAGCAACATCATTGTGTGTGTGTGTGTGTGCGCTTAAGTTCAAACAGTTTTGTCTCATAAATATGTAAATTCGGCCTGCCTGTTTTCCTATCCCTGAAGCACACCTGAATTTTGTTGCCTGTCTCATTAAATCAACATAAAGAGCTCAGTGAGGCAGGGAACACAAGTTTCTTGGCCACAACTCCTAGAACCGGATGACTAGCAACCCCCAATGTGAAATGAAGTAGAGAGACTAGAAAAACCACTCACCAGCGCCTTTAGGGACATTTTATCTACAAGAAACCTGCCAGACCCTATTTTCTAGTTTAATTAATACAGATATCAATTTAACAATAGATTTAACAGAAGGCCTCTGCTATATAGGAAGCATTTAGAAAAAACACATGAGTATCTGGCCCCTGTGATGCGTCCCTGTGAGTGACTCAGAACCAGCTCAGCAGAGATGTTTGTATCACTGATTCCCCAACCCCAGCCAGGCTTCAGAAACAGCTGAGAAGCATTTAACAATTCAGATGTCCAGGCCTGGCCCCTGAGAAGAATACAATAAGTTAGAAGCATAACTGGGAATTCTGTGTTAAGTACAATTTATTCTATTGGAACAGTGTTTTAAAGCTCGTACTCGAGANTAAACCTACTTTTGTCACACCCTACCTAAGAAAAACCTAAAAAATTTTAATTGGGAGAAAAATAGAAAATTTTTATAAAAAAAAATGCTACACTCTATATTAGCCAACATGGTTTTAACTATTATACAGATTGAAACATTGCATATGTATATATCTTTATGAATATATATATATATATATATATATATATATATATATACAAAGGTTAGTTCATTATTGGGCTTCTTCATTTTAATAATAAATTGTTTTGTTACAGAATAACTGTAATTGCTTAATATTTTGTGCAAGGTTACGAGACGCTGTTAATTGTATACAGCTGGTTCAATACATGGTAAGCTTAAAAAGCAAAAATAAATCATAGTTGTATTTAAATTCGGAGCCCTACAGCAGAACATTTTAAAAGGTACCATTTTCCTTGTGATAATTATAAGTAGATATCCATTTTTAATATTCTTAATATTCTCCACTTCGCATTTCAAGGACTACTTAGTATACATAACCTAGGGCAAATACAGACTGACTTATATCATGTTTACATNAGGACTACTTAGTATACATAACCTAGGGCAAATACACTGACTTATATCATGTTTACATAGATCTTTATATATATCTTGTGCCAATGAAAAATTATATAGAGGACAGAATTAATAGTCTGATCACATTATTTCNTAGATCTTTATATATATCTTGTGCCAATGAAAAATTATATAGAGGACAGAGTTAATAGTAGTCTGATCACATTATTTATTTCTTTAAAAAAAATCAAGAGTCAAGTATAGCTTAGGGAAATGCAGGGAAATCTAGTAAAGAAAATACTAGACAATGAATGAGTTACCCTATTCTAGTCTTAGTGTGGTCACTAACCATATGGCTTCAGGCAAATAACTTTCTAAGGGGTGGAGGGCTGCATGTTTTCACCTATAAATAAGGTACTCAGTGACTGAAGACTTGATGAAGTCCCCTTCTGGTGTGAGGATTCTACGTAGTTTCTAAATATTGAAGTAGCCTAGCTCTCCACTAAGTAATGCATGACCTCAAAAAAACCTTTTATCTCCTGACCTTCTTTTACTTCTCTGTACATTCAAGCAAGTTAAATTTAAAGAAAAGGGGTACACTGTAGAAAGCCTAGTTAAATATACTTTGCAGAGTCAACATCGTTGTAATTCTGTGGCTTAAATATGGTTTTAATACGCACATTTCTCATTTGTACTCATTTCTAAACTTGCACTAGAATTGCAAGTAGAAGCTAGTATATTATCCTGCTAATTATTTTGCTTGGCTATGAATCAACTCAAGCAAGGACCTGAAGCTAAGGAATTTGACTAAAACCACGCAGAATTGGGATTAGAATCCTGTGCTTCCATTTCGGCTTACAGGCTCAGAACTCTTGAGAAGTATATGTAGCCCCCCCAGAAGATTCTTACACACCTTAAATCCTGAGCAACGTTACTGTAAGCTAAAATGCAAGCAAGAATTCATGATCTGGTCGCTGCCCTCCGCTGTCATCATCTCCAGCCACACTTTCCACCCTAACCTTCTATTCCAGCTCAGCCTGCCTCCGTGCCCTTGCGAATGCCCTGCACAGTGTCTGGATGGCACTCTCCCTCCTTTTCCTGTGGCTGGGCCCGATGTTCCTTTAAGATTCAGCTCAAATGTTACTCCATCTATTAAGTTCCTGCCTCCCTTCCTGGCCTCTTCCCCCATCTGGGTTAGGCACCCTTAGTCTTGCCTTAACTGGCAGCACACATAGATCGCACCCCTCTTGTCCTGTGGGATAGCCACACACCTGCCACTCTGAGACTCTCACTAGACCGGGAACTCCTTGGTGGCAGAGGGAGTTTCGTCTCTGTAGACCTGAAGTCCAGCTCAAGCATGGCCCCAGCGGACACTCATTAATCTCAAAAGAAGGAACCAGTGAGCAGCATCTACGAAAGACCTAAATCAGCATGGGGAATAAATTTCCTTTTCTCTCCATCCTACACTTTCCACTTTTTCAGGCCCCCACCAGACGCTGGCTACCATGGTTATTCTATTCAGTCCTTAGACCCACCACATTAGGAATCACTTAGCACAGCACTGTTAGGTACAGTAATTACTAACCATGCGTGGGAATTTAAATTTAAATTAATTAAAATGAAAAATTCATTTCCTCATTCATTCTGGCCACTTTTCAAGTGCTTAATGCCACTGTGGCTAGTGAAGACCACATGAGACCATTCAGATAGAGAAATTTCCATCATCACAGAGTTTAACACTCACCTAAGGACCCCCAGAAACATCCGTTAGCAAGACCTAAGAGCCGGAGAAAATGACATTGGCATTGAAACATATAGTCCTAACAAAAGATACTTAGCAAGCTATTTGTATGTACGTGAAGGATTAAAGCTGGGCAGCTGCTGCTTAGTGAGAAATGTTTTCATTAATGTTATTTTATACGTGAATAAGAGATAGATTAAGATAACCTTTGAAGCTGCTTTTACTCACTGCTAATTGAAATTTATATTTATAATTAAATTTTATTTATACTGTATTTATAAACCTATTTGTCTGACTTCTTACAATCATTTTTAGAATCTGGGAAGATTATAGGACATAATTAAAGGATTTCAGCTTTCTTATTTATCTTGTTCTGCAAGAAAATTATAACTAAATTAATGATGATTTTAAAAAATAGGTTTAGGGAGGTCTTTTATCTCTAATAACACTCAGCCCACAGTACTTTAAGATTTTGCAGAAGACACATCTATTGTCCTATCATCTCCCCAATGTTTCTGAACACAGATTTGGAACCTATTAAGTGATATACTCAATAGGAAGCATGTGCATTGTGTTTGCATGAAATCTATTTATAATGGTTTCTCGGTGAAAGGTGCAGGAGTGTTTATCTTAGGAATTTGATTTTTTTTTTTCTGAGCTAACACTGACTTGATAACTTTTTTTTTTTTTCTTGGCCTTTGGCATAAATTTTATGAACATTAGTACAAATAAATATGACACATGTACTCCCTAACATCTATTTTGAGCCAAAGAATAACTTTGGATAATGCCTATGTTAGTGATGAAGGAGTGAACCTGAGAGGAGGGGGCTGTTTCTACCTTTATGTAGACTATGATGATGTGTGAGGTTAGGTACAAAAATGTCCCAATTATGGTCATATCAAAATGAAATTCATAACATTGTGGAAATTCAACAGTATTAAAATTCGGTTGGTGCAATGCAGGTGTTTTAACGAAAGGCATAGTGTGTTTAAAAGCCTAAGGAACATAATAATAAAGAACAATTGTTTCTTTCTGCCCAAATCCTATTACTTAGCAGCTTTCAGTCCTTAGTCTTGCCCTCTCAAGGGTGTGGAGGGTTTTCTGTTTCTGGGAGATACCTGGTAGCAAGCACACACCTAAGGAAAGAACACCCGGAGAGAACTGGGTGCTTCATTGCTGTGCCTCTTCTCTTCCCCTGTCCTGCAGGAAGTGGTTTCGGATGAAAGGCATCAAGGTGGACAGCTACTGGAAGAACCAAAGTTGCTGCATTTCAAAGGGAATACCTTTAGTCTTCAGATCTCTGTCCTCGACATCCCCCCATTTCTCTGGAGAATTAAACCATTCACTGCATGCCAGGTACTGGCCAAATGGCTTTCTACCAGAAATAGCTTGGCTTTAACCAGCAAGCGTGTCACAACCCTGGTGAGGGTACTCTTGACTTTCCTCCCCCTTTAAAAGTATGGATTTAATCTCAGAACTGTCAGAGAAATGTAACAGTTTGGGTTACACACAGGGAATTAAACATATTGTCATAAATTCGCAGGTTTCTAACAGGTGGGGAAAAAGGAGCTTACACCTCAGGTAGTGTGACAGTTCTCCTCTCTCCTGTTCAAATCGTTGCTTGATATAGGTGGAAAGTGGTAATTTAACAACTTAGAGCTAGGTTTGTTTATTGGTTCATTTTTATTAACATCAGTTCATTATGAGATATTGTTTTGATCATGTTCAACAATTAAAGAACTGGGTGTCAGCGAGAAACCTTTTAAGTGTGATTTTGCGTTGTAGAGAGCTATAGCTTGGCCAGGTGGGAACAGGAGGTTTATGTCCTGAGTATATGAATTGCTTGCTGCCAAATGAATTGGGCAAGATGTGAAGAAGAAATTATAAATTGAGAGGCAAAGAAAGGATACTGCCTCTTATAATCCTTCCATAAATATATACAGGTACGTATATATATTATTGTTCACATAACTGTATCAGAGAATTTTTTTAAAAATTGCAAAATGGCTTAGAGTCTCCTTGGATAACTTTTAGGGAAGGGGAGTAATCACTTAGCATAAAAAGATCTCTTGTGACTGCCACTGAGTTCTACAGAAATTCCCAGTAAGTTTAGTCATCATAAGCAGCCAGCCACCACAGTTTCTTAAGCCAGTGGCGCCTGTGCTTCAAGTGACAGGACATTTCCTTAACTCTGCAAAAGCTTCTGATGGACTCATATTGACCTGGAATCACAGGAAGCTTTCCAACTTCTTCATTCTGCTCATCAACATAACCTGCAGAGCCCGTTTTTTTTTTTAACCTTTCACCCTTGCAGCCTGCATTTAAAAAAATAAACAAACAAAAAACTTGCACAAGGTAGACCAGCTTATCAGAATGGGAACAAGCCAAATCACAAAGAGAAGAACCTTGAGTGTATCGTAACAGTAAGAAAAAAAGTTGAACTGCCAACCCTTTCAACTACTAAAATTCAGAATTTTCAAATTGGATAGGGCCATACATTCTTGTTTACATTGCAGACTTCATCACCTTGGGAATTGCCCCTCTATGTACAGTTTTAGTGCATTCAAAGGAACAATGACATCTCTCACAGCCCTGAACAATTTATTTCAGCACATTCAGCATATTTGCTTATGGAGAGAGGTTTTCTATGAATGAATATATTGTTTAGGATGCCCTAGAAATATGCTTCTGTTTCCCAGAAAGCAGTATTCAAAGTTTCTAGTCCAAATTGAACGTCAGGGTATTATTTAAAAATGCACTAACAGTCATGTAAATTCCTCTGTATTAATCTTTATAGTTTTAAGGATGTCACTTCACTGGATCTAATGCAAGTGGCTCAGTCCAAAGTAACTATTAAGTTTAATGCTTGGAGATAAAAAGTCAGGCAAAAGAACCATAACCTTTCAGCAGCACTTAAACAATAATTCCAACGCTAGGGATTTCAAAGAGAACCCTGGGCAGAAAAGGCTTGGGGGGTTAAGTGCCTGCCAACCTCAGAGGAAGAAACAGGGCCAGGCAAAGCCAAAGGGTTTTGGCTTACAGGAAACCCAACAAGCTTTGCTGCTGGAATGGGCTGAATTGCATGGAGGTTGTGAACATGTATAAATATTTGCCTTCTGTAATTGAGCATAATTCTAAAGAGTCTTGGAAGGTTGAGAAACAATTTAATTTTCTCTGCACCAAGAGGCTTGCCACTGAGTTTCCAGTTCCACTTCATTTTTCTTACCCACAAATGGCTTTCTGTTTCGTTCCTCCTATGTCTCCACCACCCCTACCACCAATTTTCTTGCCCCTGTCACCACTGAAATTCCCCAGCTTGTGTGAATACATACTGTTCTTGTCTTAATGGCCCTGCTGTGTTTGCTCCCAGGCCTCAAACGGAAGTTCTTTGGAGAGAGTTTGTGTTCAGCCTGCTTGAACCTCGTGTGGAACATGACGTGCACTGACCTACTAGGCATGGAGAATAGAGAATGGCTTTGCATTAGGACTTAGTGGGCAGGACCTAACAGAGCTGTTATGGGACAGAAAATCTCACAACTATTCCTAGCATCATTCATGGGTCTCCCCTGCAGCTGGTGAATCTCCCTGTCATTGTCATCCTTCTAGCTAGTACATGGAAGACCTCTGATGTCCTTACCTTCTTACCCTTCTCTCCCTTTCTCTAATTTCCAATCAGGAACCTGGAAGTCAACATATTCTAGTTGGCACCCAAGGCAGACTTGCCTAAGGAACATTCTTGTTTTCTTCAGGGAAGGGTGGAATGTCTCAGGAAGGTACATGCCTGGGAGGTACCTAGTACATAGAATATTTGCTCTATCAGGTACCAACCAACCACACAAGAAATATTTTTCCAATGTCCCAAGTTCAAGGTTGGGTCCAGAGCTATGGGATAAGATACTATGTAAAGGAAGACCAACTAGATTTTAAATCCTGTTGGTTGAGGTTCTCATGGGTAACCCTTTATGGGATGCTGTGCTACAGCCCTGTTTCTTATGAAGCCAGGTATGATGTGTGACAGGAAAGGGAAGGTTCTATGAGTTCTCAGATCTGGTTGCAATAGCACCCATCCACATTGATTCAAAGCAGAAATGAGGCCCATAATGCTAGTCCTCCCCAAATCAACAATTAATTATTCCCTCTTTTCATCCCCTTTTTAAAGACTCTACCACAATGAGGCTTCTGCTCTTGTCCCCTCCACAGATGTAGAAACCCTCCTCTAGGAGGCAAATAGCTCCGCTTTCAATAGGTGAGCAGGACCTAAGTGCCACTTAAAATCATAGTTTCATCTGTTCTTCACTGACTATGGCGTGGAGAAGCTGCAATAAACAGTATACAATAAAATATTAATTTATTTTTTAAATCCTACAAAACACCAAGTCAGGCTGTCACCTCCCCAGGATAAAAGCAGCTGTCTTTTCAGCATGCTATATGTCTTGGAGAGCCCAGTGTCTCTCTCCTGCTAGGATATGATTTACATTCTCTCCATCTGCTCGCAACCTAGTTATAATGGGAATCAAAATAAAAGCATTTCCGGAATTCTTTAAACACTCATAACTTTGCTATTCCCATATTACTTTCCCCATAATCCCTTTCAGAACAGTGAGCATCTTGGTGTTTTTTTTGTTGTTTTGTTTTTTGAATAAAAGAAAGCAGAGATGATTGCCCTAAAAACACACTAATCACAGTGCTTCTAATTCTATTTCTTTTTAAATGTTTTGTTGAGCACTATTAGCAGCTGCTGTTCAAGTCAACAAAACATATTCTTTGGATACTGTCTTAAAATCAGATTTTTTGAATGCTTTGATTGTGGACAGTGGAATGGAAAAAGGGATTTGTGGGTAGGTGCCGATTCTCATGTCTTTCTGTAAGGAAAGGTTATATCTGAAGTGGGCATTACTCTCCTACCTTTCTTCCAGTATCTTCATGAGAGAGAAAAAGAAATTTGGCAGGGATACCAGAGAAGACATTCTTAAATAAATGGTCGGTGTCATTTTGGAAGGGTGAGAGGGAGGGTTAGGTCGCTTTGCCAAAGATTCACGTGCACTACAAAAAACAGGTTTGTTTAAGAGCTGAACCTTGAATTCAGCTCTGTCTGGCCCTGCGATCCAAAAGCTTATATTACACTGTAATGGCTTAAATTTCAGTTTTAGAAAGCAAAAACTTCCTTAGTTAGTTTAGTTAAGCAAAACCACCTTAAACAAAGCTACCTATTAATCACAGGGCCCTATGTTATAGTTTCTTTCATTGAAGGGGATGGTGTTGAGTAACTCTATAAACATTTACTGGTTTGAAGAAGAGTGTTCATTTGAGAGTTATTAAGAATAGGGCAATAGATGAGGGAAGCCCTTGAGGGCCAGGTAGGGGATTATGTTTACCGTGGCAGACATCGAGGGGCAATTCTGGTTCCCCCACTCCCAGCAAAGAAATCTTGTAATGAGAGGAGATCTGGTCACATCAGTGCCCCCCACTCATGATTAGAGGAAGAAGAGAGACCACAGTGCTATTTCTGAGGCATACCACTCAATTGCTTTCTTTTGCCCACTTTAATGAAGCGCCAACCCCTCATTAGCTCTGTATGGTGGGGACTGAAGGCAGGAAGGCCGGTTACTACAGTTAGCTATAATAAGGTGAGAGAAGAGGGTCATTAATTGAAATAAGAAAATTGTAAAAGAATGCCAGTGAGGGTGAGGTGGTGATCATCATCAGTTGTCAGACAAAGTAAAGGTCAAATAAAATGATTTGTAGTGATTAGGCATATAATGCCAGAGACAGATGATAATGAAATAAATATCAGAGGGATGGCAGTTGGGCATATATGAGCAGTTGGGACCTTGAAGAGCTCAGTAGGCAGAGAGGGAAGCGTTGTGGGCGACTGAAATATGAAATAGGTGTTACTGTGCTTTACGAAACAGATGAAGGCTCAGGAAGAGAAGCACAAAACGAGTCGGATTCGACAAGAAGAATAATAAATGGCAGGACTTGCAAACATATTATTTTTATCTGAGGTAGGATTTTATGCAGATGCAAAGTCGTTTTTGTTTTAGGGGTAATTACTTCCCCTAAAGGTAGCTGGGAGGTGCACCAATCAGAAGTGCCCTCTGCTGCTATGGCTACCAAGGTGAGATCATAAGTAAAGCCTCTGTATAGAGAGAAAGCGGGAAAGAGGTACCATTAAATGGACATGTGCTGGCCTGCTGATGGAATAAGCAAGCTGTGGCCCAGCCAAGAGCTCCCTCAGTGACCATTAGCTTAGTGCTTCCCCCAGCGTTTCCCCTAGAAGAGGAGTCTTCATGTGGAACCCATTAGTGGCACCTTTCAGTGTTGTCCAGCTTATATCAGTTTCTAAGAGAACTTCTTCAAATCCATTGGAGTTTATTTAGAGAATCATTTTGGTCAAAAAAACAGCAACCACTCCAGCTATTTCCAACAAGGAGAAATTTAATCAACGGGGTCATGAACTTACAGAACCTTTAGAAACCCTGGTAGAACTAGGGTCAGAGAAAGCCACTAATGATATTAGGAAACCAGCAAATTCAGGTATTTCAGGAAATAGCACTGAAGCAGAGGATTCTTGGGGGAATGTCCAGAAGCCCCTGCTAACATCACGTGCTGACAGCTGAAGCCTTTGGGCCTTTGCTGATGTTAGAGGGGCAGTGAGGGCTTCAGCTCCTCCTCGAGAGTCCAAGTCTAGCACAGGTGCCTCTCATTGGCAGAATGGAGATGGGCACTCATTGCTGGCTGGGGAGTCTGCGAAATGTAGTTCTCAGGCTTCCAGCCCCTGCCATGTAGCAGAGAACTGAGAATCGCAAAGGCAGTGGTGTGTTGCGCAAGATTGTAGTCAATGAAACACCACACAGTGTCACACATAGACCTCCTCTGAGTTCTTGTTTCTACTTCTTGAGACAAAGGTCCACTGCCTTTCCCTTGATTCAAGATTAAGAGCAAACAAACCAAAACCACAAGGCCCTTCTATTTCTTTGGGATGCGGGGTTATTGCTTGTTTTTCTCTCATACTCCCTAAAGCTGACTCTCCTGTCTTCATGTGTGCAACAATCAAAAGTCCATCCTTTCTTGCTGGTCCCCCAGCAAGTATCCAAAATCAGGATCTGTGAGACTGCTATAGTGAAAATTAGGAAACAGACAAGTGTGTGTGATAGAGCTCGGGAATAACTGGGTAACACATAATTCCTCCAAGTGAGTGGACTGAATTTTAATCACGGCCCTTGGTCTTATAACACATGCTGGCTTCGTTACCAGTCACACCTCAGAGTATCTAACTTCCAGCCCACCTTTCAATGTTAGTATTATAGAAAACTACATTTATGGCAACAGGTAAAAGTGCAAATTAATGAGAGCAGAGAAGAAAAAAGTGAGAATGGACATGACTAGAGGCTGGACATACATGATCATCACCAAGGACCCAGCCTGATTTGAGCAGGAGTGAGAGTTTTTAGTAGATGAAAGTATATCAGTTTCTAATATTCTGACCTCAGAATATCGACTGACCTCTACTTCACCATGTCATAGAGCCACATGCCTGAGCACAGTCCATTCGGTGGCAAGCACTAAGTGGTAATGGGGTAAGGATGCTTTACATAGATTTTATAATTTCCCTCCTCATTTAGTAAAAATTGTTTTTGCCACTCAATTGTCTATAAGTCCCTTGAGAGTGGGGTCTGAACCTAATTCCTTATGGTTCATCTAGTAAAGTGCTTGGTGATTAGCAGGCACCATCCACAGACTTGTGGAATGGATGAATTGAATGAGGAATTGGCAAACTAGACTGCTGTGGGGCACTCAGTGTGCTTGTGTCTCTCTGGGATGTGTGTATATGCATGTGATTCTGCAGTAGGTATAATTTTTAACCTGGATATGTTAGCAATGTTGTGTTCTGTTTATACCACTCAGCATGAGTTTGTGGTATGGGGACAAGTTCTGGTCAATCAGTTCTTTAGCATAATTTTAATTAAAGTGAGAAAAAGCTTGGGTAGGAGAATGGACCATACGAATGTCCTAAGAACATTTTTTTTAAGTGGAAAAGCATTATGATTCATGTTTGATGCATTCTTTCTGATTGTGTCACCAAGTGAAATCTGAGCTCTTGCAGTGCAGTTCAGGAATTTAAATGTTATCAATTGGAATTGACATTAATTACTTTTGTGCTGCTTGGCATATGCTGGAACATTATTTCTACAACAATTCTGCCAAAGTCACTTAGGCAATTATCTCTGCTGCAATCATCGTCATCATCACCATAATTATTGCTATTAAGTCTCATCTGAGCCAGGCTCTGCACACCACAGCCTCTTCTGTCCCTTCTCCCTGCAGGAAGTCCCGTTCTCCCGCGTGTGGTGCAGCAACCGGCAGCCCCTGCACTGTGCCTTCTCCCTGGAGCGCTACACGCCCACCACCACCCAGCTGTCCTGCAAAATCTGCATCCGGCAGCTCAAAGGCCATGAACAGATCCTCCAAGTGCAGACATCAATCCTAGAGGTGAGTACTTGGTCTATGGGCCTCTTGACCCCGTTTCCAAAGGACAATAAGAATAATACACCTGTCACAGTCATGCTATACAGATAGCAGAAGAGAGCTTCAAAATGCACTATCTCTTTTACTCCTCATTACTGATAAGGGGAAATATAAACTTTTTCTCAGGCTTCAGACTGAGTTGAGCTTCCCACTGGGCAGGGAAACAACCCATCAGAACTTAGGCTCTGTGAAGGGACCTTTGGGGAAGGTACAGAGCTTTTTATACACAAAACTGCAAGCAATCTAATAACAGTCCATGGAAGGCTTGGAACACCATCTGAAACTCATTATTAGCTCACTGTGCACTTGAGACACATATGCCAGCAGGAGGCACAAAGTTACCATTGGGCAGTTTTCTGTTGCTTCTGACTAGTTTTCCAGAAGTCAGTTGCCCCATATGTGTTATTTCGTCTTCAGAATCTTGGTTTCTTATTGTCTTACAATCTCTCAGACCTTCCAGAATCAAGGTTCTGCACATCTCCATTTCTCTTAAACCTAGACTCATCCATACAATAATATAAGATAGAGTAGATACTAATCTCTTTCTACAAAGTAAAGAAATAGAAGTGCAAAGAGGGAAGGGACCTTGTCCAATGTTGTATCACGACTGAAGGGCAGGGCAGAGTTAGAATGAGGGTCAAAGGAGAAGTCACTTGGGAACTTTTGCCTGAAAGTACCTTGGGAAAGCTGCCTGAAGTCTGCCGTGACTGTGCTTGGTGTTCTCTCCTGAGGGCTATTTGAGGTTGGAGGGAGAGAGTAGCTGAGGGTTAGAATTAGGGGAGGCATGTGATGCTTCTGTTTAGCAATTCTAAAGTAATCCCTGGCCAGTTTAGAAAATCATACATTTTATTGTTCACCTGCAGAATGTGTGTGTGTATAGACACACACACACATACACACTTATACATACATATATAACTAACATATACTTACTTATTCATTTTGACTTGGCAGAAGGTTTAACACATTTTGTATACATACAACTCAATTTCGGAGGATTTTTTTCCTTTGAAAACTTGTAGCCTTATAGCATTATCACTTTGCTCCATTCTCATTTCAATTCATTATTCATGCATAATGAGTGTTGCTAATTCCCCAAATAGTTTTTCTGAAGAGCGGGTGGCTTTCCAAAGGACTGTGCCTCAAAATTGATAGCTGTCTTAACTGACATGTTTATACAGTATTTGCATTCATTATTGCCAATTAGCATTATGTGCTAAAGTAGTTTTGATGGGGAAGTTATATCCAGAAACCTAGGTAGGATATTTTTAGAGTATCTTTCTTGAACAGTCATGGCATATTTCACACAATGCATTTCAAAGTAAAATAAAAATTGTAGGAAAGTTTTAAAATAAAAACCAAAGGAAGAACCAAGGTTTTCCTTCTGGTATTCAGAAGCATGAAGGAAAAAGCAGGACATAAAGATGCCTCGGATGCAAATTGCCCTAAATGTCTGTTAACAAGTCAACAAAGAATTCTAAGTTTAAAAGATTTTTATTTTTCAAGGCGCTCAGATATCAAGGATCAACTTCTGCTATTACAGGATATTTCTGTAAAAGGAAGGTGATGAGTTGATAAATCCTGGTACCTTTGCTCCTTGCTTAAATAAATTCTTGAAGTGCATGAAAGAAAAACGAGCTAATAAACATAATCTTATCCTTTACTCTCCAGTCTCTTTTTTAATGCTTCACGAAGTTTACAATCACTTTGAAATGCCTTGAAGAAGGTAATATCACAGTATCTCTTGATAAAAGAGACAAGTAAGAGAATAATATTTAGATATTTAATGTTGGGCTAGAGTCATCCAATTTGTAAGCTACCGCATTTTAGGAGGTTTATGAACCCTTTTGATCCTGTAAGGATCGTTTTATTAATTGCTTCAAGTGTTACTGCTGGAATTTGGCTCAGTACACCTCCATCTCTTTGGAATAAACTGTGATTCATAGGCAAATCCAGTTTGTTGTACTTTCCTCTATCAGAAGAAAATTAATAATTCTTTTGAAAGCCACTGTATTTCAAGCACCATTTCATGTGCTTTCACATACAACTGTCACAACTCTGTGGATTAGTATTATACTATAACAATTTTACATGCTATAACAGTCTCGGAGGTCAAACATCTTGTCCAAGGCCATAGAGCTAATGAGATGGGTAGTCAAAGTTCCCTCCTGAGATGCCTGACTTCAAGACCAAAGACTGGATTGCCATACCACGCTACTTCAGGATCCCAGTCAAGGAGGTCTGATTTATCAGTCCTAACTGCGTGCCTTGTCCACAATATAAGCCTTCTCTTTGGGGGCTTAGACCCTAGTGACAAACATCGCAGCACCAGCAATTTGTCTCCGAGTATGAAAGTATATGAACATTGGGATGTTCTTTCCTTAAGACTGTAGAAGGATGAGATGTAACTATTTGTGTGATGGGCTAGAATAAGTGTTCATTCTATAGATCTTAAAGAATAGAACAGATTTCCTACATATAGATCTTCCTGCCATGAGATGTCTTGATTGAATGATCACTCAGGGTCCTTCCAGCCCTAGGACTGTATCACTCCTTGGAAAAACATACATCTGGTGATATATGTAATGAATAAAAGCCATCCTCTTCCCTTCAAAAGTGACTTGGTTTTTGTGGTAGATGGTTCAAGAAAAAGTGAAGATACATAAACTGCTGAAAAATTGGTATTACATGGGGAGGAAGCAGGATACATTCCAGACACAGCTCTGTATCAATCGGTGAACAGGAATAACAGATCAGTTATTAAATTGCATCATATTTCATGGCCACTAGGCTGAAAGAGATTGCATTGGGTGGTTTTAATAAGTTAGTAATAGGGTTGTGTTGAATGACAATAAAATTATAATAATAGGAAGTAATTAAAACTTTTGAAGATTTTAAAAGATTTCTTTGAAATACAGTTTTTAATATTTCCCCTCCTCCAAAGTCCTAGCTCATTTAGGCTTAGGGCTCCCAATTCCTACCTTACTTTAATGGATCATCTTAGTGTTGCTATTTCATGAATTTAACAATGGAACCATGAGAGGTAAAAGAGATACATACCTACAATTATGATCATTATGTGTGTAAAATAATATTGATTTTCAGTGTCTAAATGCAGTGATTATTCTCAGTGAAAGCATTTGGTTCTTTCTGTCCAGCCTCACCCACCGTATTCCTCCCAGCCTGTTCTCTATGAGATAAATGCAGTCCTTCCTATCCTCTCACATTATTCCAGTAATCAAGATAATACATATTTTCTCTTCTTTAGAGTGGCCATTATCATGTCAATCTTTAGAAACAGGTTGGTTCTCCTTAAATTTATCCCGACTGAATTAGCTAACGATCATCACCAACTGATACTCTATAAAGCAGTGGTATCGCTCATCTAAGAATTGTGGGTGGAAGCAAAATAAATTTGCTATTATGGAAGAAAAGGGAAAAATCATCAAGTAATTTATTTCATCATTCCTTATTAACATATTATTATTGAAGAATCTGTTTTTTGGTAGAAGCAACTTTAAATGGGAATCTTACATGCTACAATTTTCCCTTCAAGCAATTTCTCTTATCTTTCTTCCCAAAGTGGTAGAAGTTGGGGATGATTTGTCTGTTACAAGAAAGACAGGATACTTGGAATTTCTCATTGATTTACAGCTCCCAAGCTAACCAGGTAGCAGCTGCTTATCTCAGATGTGCAGAGCATGAAAATCTACTGTTCCTCTGAATATTTAATTTAAACAATCAGAAAATGTGATGTATCTACAGGATTCTTATTACTTGGCCCAGATGTCTTTTTGAATGCATCCATAAATGTTGCATAAAGTGTCATCCTTATGCATGGAAAATATTTAAATTTGGAAACTTTATAAGGCAAATGGGGGGCCCACTTATTAAAGTATAGTAGATAGAAAAAATACTTATTTTTCGAGTTAGTCTCATAATATTTTACTCACCTTCAGATTGTACCATTCCATTCCATGTTTTCTGAAGACTTTATGTGTCAAGGTGGTCTTTCTTCTACCGACAGTGAAGATAGAGCTTGGTGCATTTGCTCAATTCCTAGATGCCACGAGGGCTTCCAGAAGCCAGTTCTCTGCCTACTGCAGTCCTTTAGCATGGACAGTTTCAATGTTTTCAGCTTCATTGGCAAGCCACCTTTTCACGTGTTAACTCACTTGGGTGCCATTTTATAATAACTGCCATGTTTCCTTGCAAAAAATTCCTTTTCCTCCTCTAACCCTAGTTTCTATCATCTTTCCTAAGGACGTTGTCCTGCCCTAACTCAGGAAATATTTAAGAAAGTTATTTGTACTTGATTTGCATTGTTAAAGGCTAGAATAAATTTTATAAACTATGATTTTAAAAAAGTGATGTATCTCGTAACCTATTTTATGCACTAAAAAGCCTGAGTTGGTTTATTTTATAACCATCCAATATATTAAAAAGGAATTCTTCATTCTGCCTAAAATAATCACTTATCCACTCAATTTTTATTCAATCAATAGCTACCCATCCTTCAAGGCCAACTCAAGTGCCTCCTCCTTGAAGCCTTTCCTGCTCTTAATTCCTGAAGCAAAATGTTAATATCACTCAGAAAGTATTTTTCTTAACTACCCTACGCTGTAGGTTTCTTGATACCTGTCTTGAAGCAGGATGGTATAGGGAAATGAGTCCTGGTGTAGGTATCAGAATATCAGAATCCTAGCTTTAACTGTGTCACAAACTGCATTGGTGACTTTTATCAAATTTCATAATCTCTCTGGAGTCTATGAAAATCCCAAAAGATTTATTAGGAAATTGAGGCTGACAGAGGTCACGTAGCATCCAGGGTCACTGAGCTGGAAGTATAAGCTCATACTTTGACTCTGTAAACCATGCTTTTTCTATTACCCCATGCTAACTTCAAATACTGGAAGAGTTTTGATGAGCATTTTTCTTTAGTATTCCAGGGAACAGAACTAAAACCAGTAAGTAGAATCTGTTTAATAAGATAGCATGTGCTTTGATTTTACAAAAAGATATAATATGCAGCATTTCTCAAATGTATTTGACCATAGAACATATTCCGAAACACCCTTTTGGAAATGCTGGGTTAAGGCATTGTTTCCAAAAAACAGCCCTCAAAATGTAACTGTGTTAAATGGTTCTAGAGAGACAAAATATATTATCAGTTATTCATAAGATCTCTGAATGAACCAGTTTTCTCCATTAAATTTTTGAAGACATAAAACTTGTCAGTTCTGAAGGCTTATAATTGTGTGAGCCTGGGCACTAGCCAAAAAGGCCACCATGGTTTGGTGGCCTCAGTAGGAAGGTGTATAATGACTTGAAAAATCAGGGCAGGGTCACAGGGCAGTTCAGGAAAGGCATGTGTTGACCTGAAGGGCAGCCAAGATGACAAGTTCTTAACACAAAGGATAGTTTTTTGAAGTTTAAACAGTCCTAAGTAGTCCCTTAACCCAATCTCACACTTGATGTTTTAATTTCCCTTTGTATCAGCTTTCTCTGGCTGTATAACAAATTTATCACAAAGTTAACAGCATAAAACAACTCCCATTTATGGGCTCACATTTTGTTGTTGATCAGAAGCGTAGGCATGGCCATCTCACAAGGCTTAGATCCAGGTTGTGGCAGGACACGTGTTCTCAGCTGGGGCTCAAAGTCCTTTTCCAAGCTTAGTATGTGGAAAAATCAGTTTCTTGCAGCTAGAGAACTGAAGTTCCCATTTTCTTGCTGGCTATTGAGTAGGGGTCACTCTTAGCTCCTAGGGAGCACCCTCAGGTCCTAGTCTCATTTCCTGTCCTCTCGCCGATAATTTTCCTCCAAGCCAGCAGTAGAGATAACTCCAGATAAGAGCTTCCTCTTAATTTTCCTCTAAGCCAGCAGGAGAGATAACTGCAGATAAGAGCTCCTCTTCTCTTTTAAGGGCTACCTGATTAGGTCAGGCCCACCCAGGAAAATTTCCCTTGATCAGTTCATACCCAGTTGTTTAAGGACTTTAATTACACCTGCAAAATCCCTTTTGTCTCATAGCATAGCATAATCATGGGAGGGATTCCATCAATTACTTTTCAGGTCTTAAAATTCTGTTAGTCCACATAAACTTGTCAGCATCTACTCCAATGTGACACATTTCTGTGTGGTTTCATGTTGTATATGATGATCCAATTACTATGATGTATTGAAATAACAAATACTCACTGAACAACTCTAAATCAGAAGCAAGGGGGGCAGACAAGAGGTAGAAGCCTTCCAGCCTGCACCACTCCACAGAATACTCGAGATCTCAATCCTGACTCATGGCTGGCTTCTATTCTACTAAAGCAATTTGATTCTAAAACAAGACCAAAATTTTTACTATCGAATCACACAACTTTAGGACTGGGGAAAACCCAAACTTTAAGATGATCAACACACAATCGGTTCCCCCTTTATAGCTTTTCTGACAAGTGACTTCCCAGCCATCAGACCATTCATCTTTGGTCAATCCTAACTCTCAGGGGGTCATTCCTTACACTGAACTGAAATCTATCATATGGTAGTTTCATCCTACTGATTCTAGATCTACTCTCAACCCCCCCCCCCCCCAAAAAAAAAAATGCACATGCACATGTCTAACTCTGCTCTCACCTGATAAATCCTCAGATGTAGGAAGCTGATCATTGTGACTCCCCTGAGTGGAAGAGGCTGTTATTAATCTCCAGTACATGATTCACTAGGCTACTGAGAAGTTATTTAGTACTTTAGAAGAGAGGGGAGCTTGTCAATATATTTTATAGAGCCTCATCACAATAGGCAAGCATTTTGTGCATGTGAGCTAACATAGATTTTCTTAAAAAATGGAAGTGTTGAGCAGGTGTACTTCCACTTGGATCTGATCGTGCTTTTCCTATTTTGTTTCAGAGTGAAAGAGAAACCATCACTTTCTTTGCACAGGAGGACAGCACTTTTCCTGCACAGACTGGCCCCAGAGCCTTCAAAATCCCCTACTCCATCAGACAGCGGATCTGTGCTACATTTGACACCCCCAATGCCAAAGGCAAGGACTGGCAGATGTTAGCACAGAAAAACAGCATCAACAGGTAACTGGGGACAACTTCTGAAAGAAGGTTTTACTCGAGCAGCTTTGGTAAATGAAGCGGGTTGGGTGCATTCTTGTGCTTTCTAGGCTCTGATATTCCTCTGACCCTATTTCATGTGAGGTCCAGCTGAGTAAATGGGAAAAGAACAAGAATATGACACTGCCATTGGGGACATTATGGAAGAGCCCTACTTTGGTCCTGGGCCCATCTCTGTGTTTGCTAACTGGGCCACACAAATGGGAGAGTGAGACTATGTCACCTGGGTGCTCACGAGGGACCCAGCACAGTCCTGAGACAGATACAGAAATGAAGAGGCAAGTTCCTCCAATCTGCTCCCCACCATTCGCTAACCTTAAGCATCATTTAACCCTTAACGGGGACAAGCTCAGCGTGCAGAAGTGGGTACCTCCAGATAAAAAAGGAAGCCTGAGGATGCTAACTCTCAGATTTGAAGGCAGAGGGCATTAGAAAAGCAAAAGTTTGCCCAAGCACTGTGAATGAATCTGCTGCTTAAACGGGCACTGCTCATTACTGAGCAAACACTGTAGTTGAGTTGACAGTAGAAAAGAAAGATTTATAATGGGCTTTGTTACATTAGATGAGAAACTGCAGGGTGATGCTGCGAGAGCTCTAGCGATGGGCGGCCAGTTTGGGCTCCCTTGATGAATCGGGGGAAGGCACTCACCAGTAATGTCTCCTCTCTCCCTAATCCACTTCACATGCCCCAGAGTAGATAGAAGAAACAACAAGTTTCCCAGAACCATTTTATTTCCCTTTTCTTTGGTATTACTTTTTTTCCTCTTGAGGCAAAACCTTATTTTCTTACTGTTTGGCTTGTCCTGTTATTTCCATTTTTTGTTCTTTATTTTCACAGACAGGCTACCTGACCCTTTCTTCTCTGAAAGGGAGGGTAGGTGTCTGCCAAGAAAGACTAGAGTGCTGTTCTCTGTTCCGAGTGGGGTCCAGAATTCAAGAAGGACAGGCCCAGCTAGAAAGCAGTCGGGCTCACAGAGGAAAACCAAGAGAGGAGGCATTGCCGCAAGAGAAAACACATTTACAGAGACAGCAGGCCCAAAAAGAACAGATACATTCTTGAAAGGGGATATATTGAAAATGAAAGAATACCAAAATGAATGAGTGTACAGGAAAAAAATAATAATGTGACTATTTCCCAGCGACTTTGAAACAGGATAAGATGTCTCGTTTATAACATGAACACCATGACTAAGGCAAGTTCGCTTTCCGATCAGCTTAGGGACACGAATGAAAAACTTACCCAGAAAACAGAATTTAGTTTAAAAAGAACACTGGGCCTGGCCCGTGTGGCTCAGCTGTTGAGCATTGACCCAGGAACCAAGAGATCACCAGTTGATTCCTAGGCAGGAAGGGCACATGCCACAAGTTGCAGGCTTGATCCCCAGTTGGGGTTGTGCAGGAGGCAGATGATTGATGATGTTTCTCTCTCAACAATGTTTCTATCTCTCTATCTCCCTCTCCCTTCCTCCCTCTCTGTAAAAATCAATAAAAACATGTTTTGGAAAAAAAAGAACATTGGGCAGGGACTTGAAAAATCTGCAGGGCCCTCCTGGTTCTATGACCAATACTGTGTGCCTAGACACATCACTTATCATCCGTGTTTCTTTTCTACAAATGCAGTTCATAGAGTTCGGACTGCATTAACTTTCTAATCCATTCTGGCTTTTAGAGTTTATGATTTTTCATTCATCATTTATAAGAAAGTAATTGTCACAAACCCTCCAGGTGTGCATGTTCCTGCCTTGTTCTGTTTTATTGTCCATTCATAGTATACGTAAGAGAATGACAGTGAGTGCCTCCAGAGTCGTCAAGTTCTGACGGTGCACAGCAGGGAAAATGCATCTCAACCCAGGAGACTGAGGCTCAGGTCCTTTGGTCTCTGGGCTCTAATGAGCAGTAAATGGCTACGCAGGAGCACACTGCCCCCTCCAGTGACTGGGGTCATGAAATAGGAGTACTTGGTGTGTCTGTCTGTTCGCTTGCTTCTGGTTTTCCCTAAGGTCCCTTCTCCAGGAAAGACTTCATTTCCTTGACCTAAGAAATTCAAATGACCTACTTTTTGGAAAGTTTCTAACATAGTCCCCAGAAAATGTCGATTTCCAATAAATGTTAGTTATTCCCTTTAATATTTTCACAATTAATATAGCAATTTGGAATGGCATGAATCTACATAATGCACTTATATCTTTCAATCTCATTTAATTAACATATTCAACATCAGTGAATGGCATTTCCTACCCTCCCTTTTATTCTCTAACTTAACTCTTCAAAAGTAGTCAAATAATGGAGCAAAAATGATGTAAACTGGGGCTTAGCAAGCTTTTTCTATGAAAGAACCACATAGTAAATAGTTGAGACTACATGGGATCTGTTGCAACTACTCAGCAAAATTTAGCTCTGCTTCTGTAGTGTGTATTAGCCGGAGCAGCTAGGCATGAATGTGCACCAATAAACTATATTTTAAAAACAAGCAAGGACCCCTATCTGGCCTGTAGTGCATAGTTTACTGGCCCCTCATTTAAGTGAGCCCGCTCTTACTCACTAAAACTTCCATAGGATCTTATTGCTTCAGTCAGGGTTACACAAGGAGCTACGGCTTCTTCACCCCTCTCTGCATCCAGGCCTCTTGGGAGGGGAAGCACAGGGTAGGGTCTTCTGCAGGCTGCTGTGTTTCCAGCAGAGAGGGCCGCCAAGACATTCAGAGAAGCAGAATGGGAGAAAACTGCTAAAAAATCCTTTCGCACCATGTTAGCTCATTCTCATTTTGCAGAAACTTTTGGTTCCTTTTATGTTTTCGTCAGTGAACCAAAAATATATCTTCTACATGGGAAGAAACATGTGACAGAGATGAAGGGGATTTCCCGATGTAATTTGTCCCAAATCACTGGTCTTGCTCCCTTATGGTTATAAATGAGATAATACAGAACTGATCATCAGCGTGTGTGAAAACACAGATATCTAACCGTCAGCATGCCCGTATATTTGGGTAAGAAAGCTTTCTGTAGCTTGAGATTTCATCAACTGTGGGATCACAAGAGAAAGATGATCCCAGATCACATAGTCATTCTTTCTATTCAGAGAATTCACCGACCTTGATTTTGTGACAACGCATTTACCTGACTCTTCCCCTCTTTTATTAATTTCCAAAAATGTTAGAAAGCTAGTGAAGCAACAGCCCTCAAATCGTGAAGGAAGAGTTTGCGAAGGAAGCTGAGGGAAACATTTGTTTTATTTACATGCCAGAGAAAATGTTCTCTTACCCTCTTTTTGGTAAATGCAAATGTCACTGATGATAATCTGCCTTTTTGCCAAACAAGTTCTACTTAGAGCTGAATAGGAGAGAAAGGAGATGGAATATGAAGTTAAAGGCTTCATTTAGCAATTGGTGAGAATGTGAGAAGTGTCAGTGGCGGGTGCTGTAAGGCGGCGACACAGGTGGCTTTGCAATTCGCCTGGCATATGGATCACGCTACATAAGCTCCACAGCCCAGCAAAGAGCATCATCAGTAACAGTCGCAGTTACAGATTCTGTGAGCAAACTCTATCGCTGAGAGTCCATACTTGCCGCACATCAAAGCTGAGACTGCACATTCTTTCTTTAAACTCAGCTGCAGTAATGCTCCGTTTCAGTGCTCTGGGCCACAGGCGATGGGTAGGGGGATAACGGCTGAGAAATGAAGAACTGAGTGCACAGGAGTAGGTGGTGGGCAGCATTGCTGAAGACTAAACAAAATAAATAACATTGGAGACTGCTTCAGCCAGAAGTGTTCTCGCATCTCTCAACTTCCATAGCACTTGGTATTTTTATGATGCTTTCCTTTTCAATTACATTTGAATATATCATATTAGGGGAAATGCTATGAATTGTTCTTAAATGAATGGCATGAACTTTTTTTTTAACCCTCACTCAATATTTTTTTTTTCCATTGCTTTTCAGAGGGGAAGGGGGGGAGAGAGAGAAAGAGAAAGAAAGATCGATGTGAGAGATGTATGAGGTACACGTGCCGTTGGCCGGAATTGAATCTGGGGCCCTCAGTCTGCAGGCCGAAGCTCTAACCACTGAGCCAAGCTGGCTAGGGCGACATGCACTTTTTCACTGGATAGTATACTTGAGCTTAAAAATTTGCCTTCTAATAAATAGAATAGGTATAAGGAGCATCGATTTGGAAAGTTGGTCTCAAAAGAAAGCGGGTTCCATAGCTTACATTGTAGAGAATCATGGCTTTTCTCTCGGGTCATAGATAGTCCCTGATACCCTTAAATCATCCTTTTTTACGGCCTCATGATTTTCATATTCCAGAAACCCTGTGAACATAGCCAGCTTGACCAAGTTGCTATGGGAACAGATGCTGGATAAAGTGCCTAAGATACGGGAGGAAGAGTAGAGGGGAAGCAGCCGAAATGAAAGAAAGAATTTCAAAATGGAAAAGAGCGGATAAACTGCATCTTATTAATCATTTTTTCAGTAATAGCATACTTATTTGAAAATTTGTAAGCGCTCCCAAAGAGACATATTTCCTATTGGTCCACTGGTTGGAGTAGTTCAAGTGCGTTTCAGATGGTAGTGCTCACGGGTGATGGTGAAGGAACCATGGACAGAGGACAGACTTCAAACCTCACGGCCGATGCACAGTGCAACTGGTTTTTCCACCAAATCTTTTAGCGGGACCTCTAATGAGAAGCCCAATCTTCTCGCCCTAAGGTCACATCCTTTCATTCCCTCTGTCCACCCTCTTAATTGGACACACAGGAACAGTGAAGTGGCCGGAGGGCAGTGGGAAAGGACAGAGGAAGGTCACGAGGCAGCTTATTAGTCTCTCTGACTAGCTGCTGGGAATTCACTAGAATGGAACAGTCCCAGCTCCTGCTTTCTTACGAGGTGAAGAAAGGAGGGAGGAGAGAGAGAGAGATGAGAAGTTGTATGCAGAACGCCTGCTTCATAGGGAGACCACTGGGGAGGGTGA